ACTGGCAGGAAGTTGCAGGGGGCTGCCGGTAGTCCGGTCAGTTGGACTCTGCCTATGCCTGCCCCCAGGTGCAGGTTTGTCTTCAGGGGTTGTTCCCCTAGCCACGGTACCCTCCCGAGTTAACCCACATGGCTGTGGGGTTGCCTACTTCCGCCTTCCCAGCCGTTGTAATGGTTCACACACGATTGCCTTCTTCCGCCTTCCCAGCCGTTGTAATGGTACACACACCACCATCTTCCGCCTGCGCCGTCGTTGAGGTCTTTACTATTTACCCATAGCTGGGGCTATTTACCCATAGCTGGGACAGTGGTTGACGGGCATCAGGGCATTTCCACTGATCGATGGGCCTGCATGCCACGTCTCTGGGGCCCACTGCTGCTCCGAGATCCCGTACAACTTAGCCTGGAACCGCAAGGGACCAGTTACCATGTGTGCCACGAGGAGGCGTGTACGAGATCTTGGCAGTGGAGAGACTATGTACCGGCTGAGGAGACTTACACACTCGGCTCCTCTTACAACTCCACACCCCTGAAAAACAAAGGGCTATCCGGTGGCAGCAGCTGAAAGCAGAAAGTGATCATGCATGCTGCTAGCTACAAGCACTACTACTCCAACACTGCTGCACTGACGCATCACACTCCCTGCGTGAAAGACACACACACACACACACACACACACTCACACTCACACTCACTCACACACACACACTGATTATGATTAGATGGGATGATACATATTTGCTCTAAAACCACTTGATCAAATGATTTTTCTTTCTTTACTAAATGATGAAATCTGAATCAGTTCAGTTCAATTTATTTTGCTATGATTCTTAGTTATTTAAGAGAATATGCTGAAGACAAATGCAATGATTGAAGTATACTGAGGATGTGTTTTTTTAAGAACTGAAAAACCAGTATATTGGATTAGAAATGCATAATGCATTGGATATTATTACAGTAAACACCGTGATCCCTTTCTGTGCAGTACAAGTGAACGTTACAGAGTCCTCCTACAGAGAGAAGCGAGATCTTATTGAGATCAGATAATCTGCGCCCACAGCGGGAAATCTGTGACTGTCTGCTACTGTCTGCATGTGCGCCATTTCAATTTCCCTCGTTGTTTACTCCACTCAGAGGCACGAAGTAGCCCGGATTTGGCCGAGGTCTACTAACGGCCTGATGCTATAGATCTGAAACGTAAGTAACCCTTTTGAAACAAAGCTTTCCTATTGGTTTCTAATGGATTCCAAGCCTGCACTCTAATTGTCTGGGTTGGCTTAATATAGGACAATCACAGCTGCGATTAGATTTGGAGCAAGTGTAAAGTGTATTGCATCATAAACACATCAGACAGGGTAATACGCGCGCTTGATTCGGGTGTCAGCGTAAAGGGAGAATTTGAGTGATTCCCACATTAGTTGTGCTTATGAGTTCCTTAAGTTTGGAAGTTCCGGATTCTTCTCCAACACTCATCACTCATTTCCTTCATCCAAAAAACACGAGAGGCACCAAATCAAATCTAGGCTTTGGAAAGACTGATCGCTTCCATCCCGCCGCGTGCGCATTATAAGCGTGTCATTTACATCAGGTTAGGGTCCGCCTGTAGCATTCGTTTGGGCTCTGTTTGTCTGGGAAACATGTGCACATGTAACGCTAATAGACTGAGGGTGTATGTCGCCCGCTTCCCCTTGCCTTTTCTTTTTGTAGGCGATTCCGCAACACAACAACGAACCTCCTCCTCCTCTTAACGCACCTAGAGAAGTGCGGCTAATGAGTTTGAAATTACAGTAGATACAGTAAGTGGTGGTGGCTAAATGATTGAATCATTACTGGTGATCAGGGCTCTCTCGCCTTGGGCATATTGCAGCAATAGATCAGCCTGTCGAGCTCATCTGCATCAGTCACACGTAACCCAGTTTGCCGAGAGATGGAGCGCGCTTTCATAGGAAATTCTGTCTGCCAATATTACTGAGGGTGCATAAGAAGGGCCCTGAGTGGTTTGTCAAGAAGCGCAGCTTCAGAAATAGGCAATTTCTACAAGGGTGGGGGGAAATATGTCTTGGGAGAGGAGAATTATTGATCGGAGGCTTTTTGGGAAGCTTATGTGTAACTTCGGATGCTGGGGCCTGCGACACCAAAGTCTTATTTAATGTATGTTGTGAATAATATATATATTTTTCTTCTTTGAAAGAATCAGAGAGGTTCATGAGGCAGAGAGATTACCTTCTGATTTTAACACACACACACACACACACACACACACGCACACGTTTACTTAGTTATCTAAATGGGCACATTATACATAGACTTCTATTGTTTTTATATACAGATAGTTATACACGTTTTAGCCTAAACCCACCCCTACCCCAGAATACTTTCTGCATTTTTACAATTTCAAAAAAACTTTGTTTACTTTATTTTTATACCAGTTTTACAAATGAGGACGTCCCCAAATCGAGGTTTTTGGCGATTTTGCTCACTTTTGGGTACAAATTTGTCCCCAAAATATGGTTAAGTAGGTACACAGACGCACGCACGCACGCACACACACACACACACCTTGGGTTTTTGTGTTTTATGAGGACTCTACACAGACATTTTTAGACTGTACAACCTTTATATTCTATTCCCTAACCATAAACATCCGTAAAAAGTGAAAAAAAAAACATAATTTTCAATCAATCAATCAATAAATAAATGAATTTATAAAAATTCATATTAAAAATAGAATAGAAATAGAAATAATAGAAATAAAAAATTTAGTATGATTTACAACCTGCTTTCTTTGTGGGGACTGAAACTTTGTCCCCACAATGTCAAAAAGTTCAGGTTTTACTATCTGAAAGTAGGGAAACATAGGGAACCCCTGGATCACACACAAACACGTTGGGTTTCCATGTTTTATGGGTTCATTCCATAGGCGTAATGGCTTTTCTACTGAACAAACTGTATTTTCTATCCCCTTACCCTAAACCTACCCCTCACAGGAAACTTCCTACATTTTTAGATTTTCAAAAAACTTCACTCTGTATGATTTGTAAGCTGTTTTCCTCATGAGGAATTTTACTGGTATTACTATCCTTGTTGGGTCATTTGGTCCTCATAACGTCGGGAATATCAGGTACACACACACACTCTTTTTTATTTTGTTATCTAACTGGGGAAATTCAATAGACTTCTATTGTTTCATTTACAGCTAATTATAAATACTGTAATCTAACCCTAACAGAACATGTTCAGCATTTTTACAATTAAATATATTTCATTTTTACAGTGTTTTTACAAATGGAGATGTTCCCAAAACAAGGTTTTGGAAGGTTTTGTCAGATATAGCTCACGTCTGGGTACAAATATGTCTGTAAAATACATTGAAGTAGATCAACAGTCTTACGTTAGGGTGAGCCAGGGTGTTGCTGTCAGTGTACATGATGGAGCTGGGCAAAAGGGTGACTTCCTCTTTTATAGTCTGCCTCGTTCTTGATCTCTGAAGCTTCAGTCACCTACACAAAGTGTTATGGTATTTACAAAAACCTTAAGAAATCACACTGATCACTCATCTTTCCATCATTCCAGACATTTCTCTTATTCATAATATTCAAACCCACTCCCACTTTGCATGATAAGTTGTTTAATTAAAGAGAAATGTCTCATTCCTTAACTTCTTCACTATCGTATCTTATTCCCCTGAGATCCACTCTTCTTTGGTGCCAGAAATAGTCATAATTTAGACCCCTTAAGTTTCAACCATAATTAAACCCACTGGTAATTTGCAAATAATTCTGAACACCGTGATGAGCTTGTTTGAGGTTAACCTTCATTAACCTTCCAGGACTGGGTTAGAATTAAAGGGATAGTTCAGCCAAAAAAGAAAACTCTGTCATGTTGTTCAAAATATGTACAACTTTCCTTTCTACTGCGGAACATAAAAGAAGATATTTAGAGAAACCGTAACCGTTTGCTTACCACCATTCTTCAAAATATCTTCTGATGGGTTCCGCAGAAGAGAGAAACGCATACAGGTTTGGAGCGACGTGAATTTTCATTTATGGGTAAACTATGCCATTGATTAAACAAAACCAATAGATATTTTTATTGGAATGAGAAGAATTTAGTGCCCCATATATGGGAACGGGATTAAACGAAAAACGGCTTCACCTTACGGCCTACTTGCTTCAGATTTGAATAAGGCTCTTTTTTGACTGGAGTTCAGTGAACTATTTTATCTCAAGAGATCAAGTTAAATTTGCTTGACCCATTTATCTGGAATTAGTGGGTGTAGTTTAAAGGTGGAAGGTTTGCATCTGATAATGACTAATTCTTGAACCATAGTAAAGTTGAGCAAACACTTATCTGCAGGTGAGTTCAATGCGAGAGATGTTGGGAGCAGTTCTATACACAAACAACTGATGGCAGTATAATCATAACAGTGCTCACTCGTGTCCTTTATAACATCTGTATCCGAGCTAAGCAGACTCCTGTGTTTAACATCAAGGCCATACTCTGTTCAGTGAGGTTTTATCTGAGCTACATGGAACGGAAATGATTGAAAAATCAAATGTGCGTGAATGTATGTATTTGTGTTTGCCCAAAGAATGTCCTCCATGTATGCTTTTATTGCTGTTCGTACATCATTCAGAGTGATGTTAAGTGCTGGTCTAGCATCAGTACAGACTCATTTCAGCTGTCACCTTTTGTCTCAGACCACAGAGATCTGTGCGCATTTGTTAGTAATCTGATTTGAGCGGTGGACCGGATTCAGTAATGCTCACAGCCCACCGACGGGCAGACGCTTTTCAAGGGCCCGAGCACAAGTGGACAGGTGCCACAGACCAAACGGAATTTAATGGCAATCATTTAATTTGCAGACAAACGGAGAGTAATCCGGCGAAAAGAAATCAAATAAAAGAATATATCTATATATGAGAAGGAAGGCAAAGAGAATAGAGAGAAGGAGAGAGCCAGAGATGTACCTTGGTGGCATCCCGAGATGATTTGAAAGCCTGAGGAACAAAGGAGTCGCTCTCAATGGCCTCGATATCCTTTATCCTCTTCACCTGCTCGGCGAGAGACATTTCCTCTAGAGGAACAAAAAACAGAGCGGTGAGTGGACAGGCGAGAGGTCAGCGGGGCAGGTCAGACGGGCACAAACCACAGAAACAGAAAAAAACATCATTCTGATGGATTCATCTCTTAGCGAATAACAGCATCAATCTACTGGACAGTGTTGAGTCTGTAGTGCACATGACACATTGAAGCAGCTGTGCTCATGGGATGCCGGTTGTGTCCCGATCCCATTCCCTGTCTATGTCAGTATGTCTCCAGCAAAACAACAGCATACTGTCCAAACAAGCAAGAACACACAGTACACAGTAGCAGGAAAAAAAAAAGAAAATAATCTTGTCAAGAAAAAAATGACTGGTTTGATGAAGCCTATGTTGTGTTAAGTGTCCTCTGTAGTTTGAAGTAGTTCGGTGGAAGTAGGACTTAAAGGGATAGTTCACCCAAAAACTTATAAGTGCATTACCGCCACCTATCTCTCAAATGGACTATTGGCACTCCTAATTGAGATTGTAGATAGTGTCAATGGTCCATTTGAGAGATAGGTGGCGGTAATGCACTTATAAGTCACTTTCACTTTGATGAAGACACATTTTTATCTGCCGTAAAGCAAGAAGAAGAAGAAGACGCGTCACGCGCCGGATGTTGTGAACGCACTCAGGACGCGCTCAGGAAACGACATTTAGACATTGCAGTGCATCAGAGGTAAAAAAATGATATAAATACTGTTCAGTTTCTTGCACAGACCGATCGTTTCGTGTCTTTACACATCAATGTATCGTCACGAGCCGCAGGGTTTAATTTGGTTTTGTTTGTGTATGTTTTTTTTTACTCTCAAAGCCGTGATTCCCATCCACTTCCATTATAAGACTGACAGACTGCAACGGTTTGTGTTAAAAATCTCCGTTTGTGTTCTACTGAAGAAACAAAGTCACATACATCTTGGATGCCCTGGGGGTAAGCAGATAAACATTTGGGTGAACTATCCCTTTAACAGTCAGAAATGCTGGTCTCAGAAGATGATCTTTAGTTTGATATAGATATGTGGATCGATAATTATAGTCTGCATGAAACGGAGGTTGTGATCCTGTTTACGTCCCAATTGTGATGTATATCAGAGTGAAACAGCTTCTTAAATGAGGAAAAGATTTAATTTGGTCCAATGGGAATTGATTGGCTTACAATGCAATATTCTATTAAAAAAAAAAAACTGTCCATTTAGATTTCTTGGTGACTCCCACACGTTATTAACAGTCTTCAGAAATCACCCGAGTAAACATTAACCAACCTAACACAGCTTTTAAATCGAAGTCTCTCTATACATTTCCAAACTTGCTAAGCATGCAAATGATTATTTATTTATTATTTTTTTTATAATTTTTCCTGCTTACTGAAAGAGAAAGCCAGCGATGTTCATCACAGTATTGAAGTGAACATCAGATCAGCTGATTTATTCTGGAGACAGATTTATGTTTTCTAACATTTTGAAGTTATGCACAAATTCAATGGTGTATTCATTGTGGTTTATGCAATTATGTTGTGATGTTACTATTATTTTTTTTGTGTTTTGGCTTGAAGATGTGATCCATGTCTCTCCAAGTATTTATGGCATAGTTCTGAGTAAAATGATGCATTGTACACAACCTCAAATTTGAATGCAATATAGTAGCAGGCTCTTATTCCGGTATCTGCTGTATATTGCATTCAGTTTCTCCTAATAATCATATCAGGAGATACATATGCTAATGATTTTGGGTTGGACTGATACACATCATTTTTAGTCAAGCTATCGGCTGTCCATCTCTGATGCCCTCTGGTGGTTGAGCATATTAATATGGACACTAACACATACTGTGACTTCAACGATTGCTGATAGTTTAGAAGGTAACGTTTTATTTTGATATTCCACATTCTACTGACTGTACGTAACTTTGCAAGTACATCAACTTATTCTACTAACAGTCTACAAATAGTCTAATGAGAGTTACTTGCAGATAGAAGAATGTCTAAAGTGGACTATCGAGAAAAAAAGAAAAAGAAAAAAATCTGTTTAGAATTCCATAATCCAGTCATATATAGAGATCAGTGGTTTAAACAGAATATCTGTATGTTGGCGATGCAATGCCTACACAATTATCAGGAGAGACAGAATTTCAAGAAAAAAATAATCAATTCTAAGGTTCTTCAGGGTAAACGGATCTTCTATTATTTCATATGCATACTTCTCTCACACATTAATTCAGGAAAATAAAGACCTAATGTGATATTGTTTGGTACTACTTCCATAAATAAATAGAGCAACTGGCTATATTGTGTCTAATATTTAACTTACTCCACATTAACTTCTTGTTTACTGAACTATAAGCTGTGATTACCTACAGCCACAGCTGTGCTGTTATTCAGAACAGTTTGTGTGATCCTGCTAATTTAAAACATCCTTAAACATAAAACACAATGTATTACTGATACTCAAATTCACCCACAATTCAATCTCTCTCCACACATATGCATGAAAATGCTCAGAAACAAACACTATTAGGTAGGAAGCATGCTCTCTCTCTCTCTCTCTCTCTCTCTCACACACACACACACACACACACACACACACACACACACACACACAGATCCCTGCGCTAATGAGAGGAATTAATTTAATCCATTAACTGCCAGGGAGCAACTGTCACAACACATCTTCTTGCTCTGCTCGTTTAATGAATAAATGAATATTTGCTCTGGTTTTCTCTCTGTTAGCAGAAATACTCGCTCAATCTTTCTCTCTCTCTCTCTCACACACACACACACACACACACACACACACACACAGCTTTTAGTGTTTGTCTTATAAGGCTTATAAACATAACTTAAACGCTGTAGCACTGTCATTCTTTCCTGGCAAACAGTTGACAATTTCTACAAAGAAAAGCAAAACACTCATTCTAATGAATATCTAGCTTCATTCAAGTAACATACATATAGACATTGATTTGACACTGTGTGCGCACGCGCGCACGCACACAGACACACACAGAGTCTGGTCAGCTATCCTTGTGGGGACTCTCCATAGGCGTAATGGTTTTTCTACTGTACAGACTGTATTTTCTATTGCCCGACACCAACCCTACCCCTAAACCTACCCCTCACAGGAAACTTTCTGCATTTTTAGATTTTCAAAAAACTTCATTCTGTTTGATTTATTAGTTTGTTTACCCGTGGGGACCTCAATTTAGGTCCCCTCTGTGAGACCAGTCCCCATGAGTCTGTGTGTATTCAGGTTTAAGTCCCCACCAGAATAGAAAAACAGGTACACACACACACACACACACCATAAAAACACAAACGCGTGTCAGTGCTAACTGCTGATGTCACAACACACCTGCTCTGAGAAACAAACTTGCAATAAAATAAGCCCGAACAATTTCAGGCATGTGTCCATACATAGTGACAACAGTTTGCCTTCTCAAAAATACACATACTTGAGCATGAGGCAAAACGGAGGCGCAATAACCTCTAGGAGCCTACAGACCGTCCTTAAGATGACAGCAGTCCACTGGCTCTCAATCACACACTTATTACTCCTCCTGTGTGTGTGTGTGTGTGTACCGAACATCTTAATGACTGATACACAGACACAAACACACAAGCCCACCCAGATACAGCAGTGACAACCTATCCTTGGCCCGGAATTCCATTAATGCCTCATACTTTTTGACAAACACATTATTGGTAGATAAAATGACTTCCATATGCTGTTTGTCAGATGTCAGTGAGGAAAGATATGTATTTCATAGGAAAATCAAAAATAATGGACTTTGAGAGAGGGGCCCGTGCCGAGCAGATAGCAGAAAATCGATAGCGCTGTCGGAGAGACATCTCTGCCAGACACGATCAGCACAAGGCCAGGTCAAAGTTGACATTTAATATTGACACATTATCCACAAAATTAATTTAGAGTCCATTGTCGCCGCATTACACAAGCCTTATAGCAGTCCTCTCCACAGACAGAGACAGAGATAGATATGATGGATTCTGCTCATGTGAAGTGTTGACTTTCCCTGCCATCCTAAAGGACTAAACGGACTCTGCTTTTATTAAACATGAATGAATGCATATTTAGATGTGAATAAATTTGTGAAGAAACCAAGATATTAACATTTGTGAAAAAGAACAACAGACACGAGAAGTCCAGCGTCATGAAACGCTCTTAATAGCTGCTTCTCTACTTACAAGTGTGTTCAAATCCAAGGAAAGATCCTCTCCAGCAGGCAGGACTGTGCGTGGTACATGTTGCAACAGAGAATCACAAGAGGGCGATGTTCAACAACTCAAGGCACTGCAGGAAAGCGGCAGCACCACGTTCAAGGATACCAGAGGAACGTGAACGCTAAACTCACAGTGCCTGATCAATTCCCATAATTGAATGCCTTACTTCCATGAGCTAAATGACAATGGCTCTCATCACTGATGGAATAATTAAAGCAGTAGCTGCCCATCATCAGGTGGTCGGTCTCAAACGACGCGGATTCAAAGGTGCTTTTGAATGTCATGAGCAAGCCAAACAAGACCTAATGATGGCACTGCACTGATTGAGAATGAGACGAGTGTGAGAAGAAAAAAAAAGAAAACACTACAATACATGGAAAAACTTGCAGACCTCTCACATGCACTGGCACAGCTGTGTTTACCATAACAGATTTCTTGTTTTTAGTTGTTCTAGCTTATTGTAATCCTTGTTTTGTATGATTTTTAATTATTGCAAGTCGACTTGAGGCCCCCTACTGGTTGAAAACCACTGATATTTATCCACATACTGTGGATTACATGAAATACATGCATCAACATATTTGTGCGCAAAAAGTTGAACTAATTGTTAAGCACACAAGCACATTCCCTCTACAGTAAACCATTGGGAATCCGGCCTCCATCTCCGCATCGGGCTACGATATGTAATTCAATCCTCAATTTAGCCCCGGCTCTGTGGATAGATTTATTTATTTATTTCTGGCACGGCTAATTGATAGA